TACTCTCCAGCTGTTAAGAGCTCTCCAGCTGCAACCTGTTGATTGGCAGGAGCTTTTTGTAGCGTATCTGTCTGAGGTCCCCCTCTTCCTCCTCCTCATACCCCACCCTCAGCAGGCTTCATCCCTAAAATATCCTGGAAGTTTCCAACCTGGAGTTGGCAACCCTATGTCCTTTCCAGGCAACCATCAGCCTCCCTTTATCTGCCTGTCTTCAGGTTTACACCCCCACCCACAAACTCTGCCTAGGGAAAGGGCAGTCTTTCCCTGCAGTGGGAACCAAAACAGCTCACATGATCTGCACAACCGTATGATCTGCACAACTACCCTATGAGGTATGTTAAGGTTGAAAGTGTGTGAATAGTCCATAATCCCCCAGGCAGCTTGTAAAACATGAACCTGGGACCTGCACACCATCCTCTGAAGCGCTCTCAGGTACATATCTGTGGCAGTAATGGGGTGACTGCTGGCACCTTTTCCTATCATTTTTTGCCTTGTGGTATTCTGCTTGTGGTGTGATCTGTCTTTCTTGTGGTGTGGCATGATTGTGTTTTTGGGTTTGTTTCTTTTGAAGGGGGAGTGATGTGTTGTGAGTGAGGACATATTTTACCTCAGAATACAGTAGGTCCCATATGCGACAATTCCAACTGTCTTGGGGGGGGGGGGAATTTGAGGTGTGGAATGGAGTGAAGTCGAGTCAGCTTCCATATGCAAATGACCTTGAAACACTGGCCCAATCAGAGAAGAGTGGCCTAGGCTGCAGTGGGTGGGAGAGAACTCAGACCGCCGCCGGCCACTGACTTGCCTCCCCATCCACACGTACCAGGAACACCCCCACCCGAAGGCACAGGCAGCTCGGCTGCCACTCTGTCCTGGGGTTTCCTGAGCAATTCCTTACCTGGGTCCCCTTGTGTCTACCGGTGACTCTTCAGGGCTTCTCCGGCTGGGCCGCTTTGTGTGCATTGGAACGTTGGACCCCACTATGGCTTTATATAAGGGGAGAGATTATCTTCCTCAGAAAAGGTAAATTGGAGACTGGCCTGTAACTGGCCATCTTTTAGCTCTAAGAGATTAACTGAATCTCCCGTTTATTTAATCAAGACTCCATCTCTCCAGAAGCAAAATCATCCTGGTTACTTAAGAGACAAAGACAAACAAACTACTTTGTGTGTGGCAAAATTTCTAGCAGCTGTTAAATCACATGACAACGTTTGCAGTAGCAACCTTTAAATTCTTCCATGTTTTCCTGTGGAACGAGGTTTATTGTGGGAGGAGGGTTTGCTGTTTATGACTCCAGTTGCAAAAACAGTAAAGACAATAAATAAGATAAATAACTGGCTATCTCATCCATAGCCAATGAAGATTTTTAAAAATAAAGGTCTAATAGCTGCAAAGGTTGAGGGAGAGGTGTGAATACATGTCTGTAATTCCACCATGGAGAAAGTGATATGTAGGAGGAAGTTGCAGGATAAATGTGGATAAGGCAAGGGTTAAGTACCCATCTTTCCCTTTTGCTGCCATTTCTCCACCACAAATCACCCCTCCCCCAGCTGCTTTGCCTAAAAGATGCAAGTTTAAATGCATACATTTACATGTAGTAAAGATGGGCCCTAAACAAAAGCAGCCCCTGGTGTCTGTTGATAACTTTTTTTAAAAAGTCATTTCATGGTGCGCTCTTGCATTTTGTAATCCTGTCAGAGGTGGGAAAGTGCTGTATGTGCTTTGCGTTTTGAGCTGGGAAATGTCCCTTTTGTATTCGTTTCAGGAGATAAAAGTCAAGCATGCTGATTCCTGGACAAGTTTAGGGAAAATGATACCTGCACCAGTCTCCGTCAAACCTCCCAACGACAGCTTCAGACAGTTCCAAAAAGCAGCTCTAGAAAAAGAAGAAAGTGAGTGGGCAAAGGAACGCAAAAGGCAGTTGTCGGAACAAGCCAAGAGGAAACTGAAGAACCTCTCTCAGGAAAAAGAGAGGTTTGTAATTCTATATAATTAAATTGAAAGGCTGTGTTTTCATGTGCTAGTTTAACTAATCATATTGAGTGGTTGCCAACTGGGTTATTTTGTGGCTGTGCAGAGTTGATTCCTATTTGAAGGGAAATAATTAAAGCTTAGTAGCAAAGACACCATGATGATAAAATAGCAACACAGTACGTTGACTATTTTGAAGCTGAGTCTGATTTTTCTTATGTATGATGCCAGTGCCAACAGGTGACAGGAGGAAATGAGCACTTGAGAGTTACAGTAAAACTCTGACTGCCACTTGACCGACAAATTTTAAAGTAAGGTTATACTTTCCGAACTGTTCAGAGGTATAACATAGAATCATAGAATCACAGAGTTGGAAGGGGCTATACAGGCCATCTAAGCCAACCACCTGCTCAATGCAGGACCAGCCTAGAGCATCCCTGACAAATGTTTGTCCAGCTGCTGCTTAAAGACTACTTAAACACTGTGAGATCATGTTTGAACAACTAAATGCTAGGTAAGTGTTTTCCTAAACATTTGACCAGTCTGTTTCTAGTCTGGTTTTAAATTGCAGGTACACCTCAGTTCATGTTTTTAAAATATACGTCTATGGTATTATGAGCTTGTCATAGCTTTAGGTGTAGCTGTGGCTCAGTTGTAGAGCACTGCAAAAGGTTTCAGTTTCAATTCCCAACAACTCTGGTTAAAAGGACTGTGTAGAAGGGGGTATGAGAAATCTATCTGAGACCCTGGAGAGCTCCTGCCAGTCTGGGTGGACAGTACTGCCTTTGATGGGCCAGTAGTCTGCTGATAAGAAGAAGAAGAGTTGGATTGATACCCTGTCCTTCACTTGGAGTCTCAGAGCAGCTTACAGTCTTCCTCCCTTCCTCTCCTCGCAACAGTAGCCCTGTGAAGCAGGTGGGGCTGAAAGTTCTGAGAGAGCTGTGACTGACCCAAGGTCACCCAGCTGACTGCATGTGGAGGAATGGGGAATCAAACCTGGTTCTCCAGATTAGAGTCCACCGCTCTTAACCACTGGCTCTCACTACACCAAACGTGATTGTCTAGTACAATTTTATCCCTAGTGTCCTCCAAGGAGCTCAGCGCAAGATATGTCGTTCTCCCTCCGTTGTTTTATCCTTGCAACCCTGTGAGATTGGTTAGGCTGGCAGAGTGACTGGCCAAAGTCACCCAGCGAGTTTCATGGCAGTGGAAATGTGAACGTGAGCCTACTGGACGCTAGTCTGACATTACAATCACTGACACTAGTATGAATGGGCCTGTTACAGTTTTGTCTGACAAACTTGATAGGTAATGAGGGACATAGCAAAAATGCACCCGAACGGGCTGGCCTGGACTTAATTCTGCAGCCTTGAGAATATGATACCTTAGAAAGTCTGGGGAAGGAACAAAGAGCCATTCAGAAGTAGTTGCCTTTCCATTTGAATGCGGAGTGGGGGGGGGAGGCAGATAAATAAAAAAGTTTTGAATTGGAGTTAGGAAGCAGCTTGAAATAGCTGCAAGGGGTCCATACTGTTGCTTTGGCTAACTTGAAGCAGGATGACCAATTGTGCTGCCTGATTTGGGAGTCTTTATTTCCTCTATGTTCTTTGTGAAACAGACAGATACAATAAAGATACCATTAGTCTCCAGTGCTCTCTCATCCAGTGGAAGCTAACCTCATAGCACTATGCCTGGTCTTTACTTCCCAAGGAATCAAAGAATGGTTGTTCGGCTTCTAGAAGTGAAAAGTACTGGGTTCAATGCATGGCGTACTCGGACTACGACATGCGTTCAGACTCGTTTATTGTACTTCACAACAAAACAAAGAAAAACGGCCCTGCAAGGCCAACTATATACACTCCACCTGACACACCTCTGTCCCCATAGGAGGGTTTGAATTTCTTGCCAAGGGTGCTATTGGTGGACTCTAGGTGGACTATGATCCTAGGTCCTCTTTGTGTTTGGGGGCCAAGCTCCTGCTTTAGCTGCGGACCGCTGGTGGCAGTCTGCGTACATAACAAGAAGGATAAGTGGTCACTATCCTAGCAAATGCAGTTACCACTCGGTTAAATTTGTCTCCAAGACTCCCCCCCCCTTTTGCCATCAAGTCATAGTTGACTGGTGACCCTGTAGGGTTTTCAAGGCAAGAGACGTTCAGAGGTGGTTTGCCATTCCCTTCTTCTGTGTAGGAACTCTGGTGTTGCTTGGTGATCTTCCGTCCAAATACTAACCGGGGCCAGCCCTGCTTAGCTTCAAGTTCTGATGAGATCTGGCTAGCCTGGGCTATTCAGGTCAGGGCCCCAGGGGTATATATTTTTTATTAAAACTAAATGTTCAAAGTTTGAAACTGATGGGACATTGAGAGGAAATCAAACGTCAGTGGCACACTCTGCATGGATTTGGAAAACACAGAAGGATGAAGAATGTATAATCTACAGAAGCAGATTATTGGCAACCTCAAAATTTCTAAAGCAGGCCTTTCTCATATATTCTGGAACTGCCCTCATACCATGAACTTTTGGAAACAGATCTTTGGTATTAGAAAAATTACTTATACCTTAGGTTATCTGAAAAATACTAGTGTAAAGGATTATTTCAGATTGATTAATGCTGCTAGAATGAGCAACCAATGGAGAAGGACCATGAGCCCCCTGTGTAACAGATTCATGCAACATAATTTAAACAGTGGCATTTATGATAAAGTTGTTACATTGCAAGAAGGCAAATAAAAATACCAAATGAAATCCATTTCTTTATAGCACTGTATAAAATACAATACTAGAATGATAATGCACACAGCCGTAGCTTTCTCTTACAGAACTGATGATGATGTTGTGGTGTGCCTTTTAGTTTTTACTGGCAGTAAAAATTATATTTTAAAATGCCTACCAAAGTTCTGTTCTCAGTTGGGGCTGTATGGGGCTTTTTTTGGCAGTGCTGCTTCTGGGATCTCTGCAGTCTCTAGCATGGGTTGTATCAAACAATCCCAGTGTTTTACTCCTTTGGGATATCCCTGCTTGTATATGCAGAGAAGTGTGGGAATCAGAGCCACATGGGGCATCTCTACTCCACCAGGCATAGCGTGCCGGATGCCTTGAGTTAGGGTGATGCCACTGTGCTTGAGCACACAGTCTAGGGAACGCTGTGTGTAATCATTACTAAAGTTATTAACATAAGAACATAAGAGACGTCAATGTTGGATCAGGCCAAAGGCCCATGTAGTCCAACACTCTGTCACACAGTGGCCAAAAATACCAGGTGCCATCGGGAGGTCCACCAGTGGGGCCAGGACATTAGAAGCCCTCCCACTGTTGGCCCCCCCAAGCACCAAGAATACAGAGCATCACTTGCCCCAGAGCTTTTCATTCAAACACAAGCCCTGTATGTTGGCATCAGTAAGATCTGAATGTCGCAGTCACTGCTTTTTATCTCCCTCACTTTTTCAAAAAATAGGAATAATGGAGAAACAAAACTGGAATCCACTACAGCAAGAGCAAACTATCCATCCCAAGGAGTAGACGCATCATCAAAAGGGCAGCTACAGTCCCCACAAAGTTTTGTCATTGACCGTAGCTTGGCAAGAAAAATGGAACAAGAACGCAGGAGGAGAGAAGCGGTAAGACAGTGACACCAATAATTTAATTGTATTCATATACTCCCTCATAGCCAGTTCTTGACACTTCAAACATTATTCGTCCCAAATGTTAATGCAACCAATGAGGTCCTGCTGCAGCAGCTTAGGCTAGTAAGGTTTTGTTGACTGCTCTTAATGAAGCTATGTGTGAAACCACCCTAGAAATAAAGGCTGGGTGATGCTGCTGAGCACTGTAACTCATTTGTATGTTATGAAAATAGCTACTGGTTGCAAATAAATATATTGCATCAGTTTAATTCAGACAAAAATCCAAACTGCATCAGGCAGATCAGCAATTTTTTTTTTTAAGTTGGCCACTGTGAATGTCAGCTCTGTGTTGGATTCTACCACTTAGAATCATAGAACCACGGAGTTGGAGGGGGCCATACAGGCCATCTGGTTTCTAGTACCACTCTATAATGTCTAAATCAGCTTACTCATTGTCCTGACTCCTGACATCATAAATGATTTTTCACGCTTCTGGTCCACACCATGAGCTACTGCTAGTGGCTGTGGGAAAGGCACATTACGATGATGTCAGAACGTGGTACATTGTGATGTCACCTCAGGGTACAAGTTGAACTAAACGTTGCAAAGGGGGATCTCAGTAAGAATATCTGTACTACAGTTTGTGGTTTTACCCATAATCCTGGTTACTCCATCTTTAAGGGTAACAGGGAAAGGTTACAGGCAGAAGTGAAGTGGCTGGCCTCCCAGCTGGTCATGAAAGCAGCAAAACTAGGCAGTTTACCTACTCTAGGGGACTCTCCACATATGCAGACTTTGTAAAGTGAACAAAAGTGAGGAGAGCCCAAAACCAGCCTGATGAAGTCTGTTAAGAGGAGTTAATAAGTGACAGTTAAGAGGAGGAGAAAGCCCTATTCACTGTAAGCTCCTAAAACTCTTCATGAGGGAGACTTTACAGGGTAGAATTTCCAAATTGTCCTCCCTTCTTTGACTTGATCCTGTGAAAGAGATGGTGTACACAGGGTGGGGGTTCCCAAATGTTGATCTTCCCTTCCGTGTTGTGATTACTCTCAGGCCCTGAATTGAAAGGCCACATGAACAGGAGAGCAGCCTAACAATCTCTTCATTTTTTTACAGATGGCAGGCACCATCGATATGAATCTGCAAAGCGATATTATGGCAACATTTGAAGAAACCTTGTAGTGAGAAGAATGGTGGACAATGTAATCTGAATGCTATTCCTTAAAAAAGTGACACTAGATTGCAAATATACTTTCAATCCACCGACCTTAATGTTACAAAACCTCTGTGGTGGTATTCCATCCAGGCAGTTGTTAATCATTTTGATGAGTCAGAGTATTACTGTAATAAGATTCTGTTTTATAAAATGTGTGATATTGAAATTGTAAAAGCGTATGTCTTGCAATGTAAAGGTGTAACTGATCCATCAGTAATGCTTTATGGGCCAAGTTTTTGAGTACTGTCAGTTTTGTGCTACTTCTTCCACACATTTTTAACCTTCTGTTTCAGTTTTTTGTTTTGTTTTATAAGTAAGATTAGTGAAGTGAAATAAGCATAAAGTTTGCTTTGGATTATCCAAGTTGGTATTTAAAATACCTCTGGGATGTTTGCAAAGACTGAGAATTGTTGGGGGTTTTGTATTGAAATAATTGCTAATAATGACTGAAGCCGCCTTTGTACACTATTTCATTATGCCTTTCTAAATGCTTATAATTTTAACAAAAGTATTTTCGGGTTATTTTTCTTTTTATTTCTGGCTAAAGTATTTAGATTGAGGGTTGCATTGAAATGGCAGGCAAGGATTTTTTTTTCTTCAAATTGTTCAGAACTTTCTTTGGATTCCTAGCCACTCTTACCATTTGAAAAAAAAATCTGATAGCTGTGATTGTCATTTTATAGTAAAAACTGTAAATATGTCATTGCTTTCCTTTTCCAAGCATGTAGTTTAAATTATTTTCATTTCCTTGTGAAGATACCTGCAGTCTTTTGTATTTGATAGCAATGTTCCTTTATATTCTACTGCATTCATATGAGAATAAAAAGTTAACATATTAGAGTTTGTTTTCTAGAACATTTTTAAAAAACAAACCAATATATTCACCAATATATTTTTGTTAGAAAATTTCTGTCAAACTGAAATCCCATTCTTTTTTTTACATTAGAATTTTAAGTTTTTATTGAAAAAATAAAAAAGGGGAAAAACCTGAAATCCCATTCTTGATGCTCATATGTTGACCTCCTCAGTCTTACGCAAGTTACCCGAGATATATAGGATTGCATATAATCTACCATGGGTGCACAGTGGCTTTACTACATTCCCTTTTGAGTGGGAGAGACACCCCTACGGATGGACACAAACCGGGAAAATGCAGTTTGGTCTGTGGTGTGCCCAGTTCATGAACCATGAACTGTCATGAACTTTTAGCTGCCGAAAGAACTGGTTCAGTTCGTGAGGTTTGTGATGTGGTCGAACCCCCCCCCCCCCCCCAGCATGCTAGATACACTAAACTCACAGGAGTTCTCCAGCTGACTCTCTGCTACCTGCTCTCCATAATCCAGGGAATGTTGGCAATTTGATCTCTCGTTCCTCTACCTCTTCGAAACCCAGCTTGTACATCTGGCAGTTCTCTATCCACGTACTGCTGAAGCCTAGCTTGTAGAATCTTGAGCATGACCTTGCTAGTGTGTGATATGAGTGCAATTGTGTGATAGTTTGAACATTCCTTGGCATTGCCCTTCTTTAGGATTGGAATGTATATAGCATCATCTTTTCAGACCTTGAATAGCTCAGCTGGTTAGTTTCCAGTAACTGAAGTTTGTTGTGACTAAAGTCACTGGCAAAATGGTGAGGTAGATGACACACTAAGGGTGCGTTCAGACGCGGCATTTGTAACGGAATAGGTGACGATTCCAACCGGTGTACTTACCGGCATTCACATGGCGAACATCTGCCTCCCGTCCCTAACCGTTACAAAGCCGTTTACACCGTTGTACTCTGCCACTAGGTCCCAAGTGGTGGTATCCAGAGTACAACGGTGGCTTCCGATACAAACCGGCGTCTGATCGCTCTCCACCGGTGCCTAGCCACTTCCGTCGGAAGCCTGAGGCTTCCGGCTTTCCCCCACCATTTTTTTTAACTCTAAGCGATATGCGCTCGGACGAAGCTTCGCCCCGAGCGTTTGTGAAGGGGAAAAAAAACCCTTACTTTACCGTCCCAGAGGAGTCCGGGACTGAAACGAGGCCAGGTTGGGCTTTAAACTTTAAAGGTAAGTGCTTACCTTTAAAGTTTAAATGTAAGGGGGGGGTTGAGCATGCGCAAAAATCGCCATTCTCTGAATGGCTGCCTGTGCGCATGCTCAAACAGTCCTTTAAAAAAAACAACGCCGACGCCTGCAGCGTATGAGCGGGCGTCCACCGGAGGGCTCCGCAGACAGGAGGGTGAGTCTGATCGCGTTTCTGCCAGCATAAACTGCACCGGTTCCAACCGGTGCAGTTTATGCCGGCAGAAACGCCCCGTCTGAATGCACCCTAAGGGTGCGGTCAGACGGTGTGCTGAGAGCGGGTTAAACTGCTCCGGCTCTAACTGGATTATATTTGATCTGGATAATCGCGATCACACTTAGCTCCCTTATCCCGCCTCACCGCGCAGTCACATCGCTCCCTGGCGTCTACACTACTGACACATGGGAGTGTGTGTTGGCAGGTTTTAAAAAATTTTCCCCTCAGTTTGCACATGCACATAAGCGCTCCTCCGTAGAAGGGGGGGAACTATCATGGCGCATGCACAGAACCACCAGGGCGAATCAATCCGACCTTTCCAACAAAAGACTTCCATTTAAACGTTTGACCCGAAAATGGCCTCCATGAGGTCCCGAACTCATCTAAATGCTAAAACAAGTGACCATTTAAATGTTGGTTTTATAAACGCGGTGGCGGAGCTCCGCCTATGCGCACACCACCAACACATTTTTTAAAATGGCGGGCAAAAAGCAGAAGCCTCGGGCAGCTTTCAAGCGGGGAGGGGGTTTAAACCGGAAGTGGCTTGACACCGCAGGAGCGATCAGACATCAGAAAAGTGTGGCTAGAACTGGAGAATCAGGAAAACACCAGTTGGGGACCTGGCAACAAAATACTCCATTTTAAAGGGGGTTTGAGCCGGAAAGCGATGGCTGGGGACGGTGCGCAGATGTTGGGTGTGTGAACATGGATATAAAATCCATTACTGAAGTGTGCTGAAAGCAGACTAAACGGCCTGTCTGAACGCACCCTAACAGTATTTTTTGTGTCACAGGCCCTTATTTGGCTACGTCTGTTTCCTCTTCTAATGTCATCCTTTCTGAGGGAAAAGAGGCAAAAGACCTTCCTCTTCACTGGATGCCAGTCTTGCATGGTAAATGGTAATACTTCAGAGATGATAATTTCTTCATTCCTCCTACAAGCACCTGCCATAGTCAGAACTCCCTCCTCATCCTAGAAACCATTGCTTCTGTGCTTCTGTTCTTATTTTAAATAGATGGCCTCTTCTGAGGAAGGTAGAGCGAGTGTGGTGTTTTTAGGCAACCACAGGTTTCCTCTCTCACAGTCATGTTGTGGGAAGCAAACGGGATGTGCTGGTAACTTTGCCCACAAAATCAGGGAAAGGATGTCAATCCTTTCTTTCCTGGTTGGCCTTTTCCTTGCCTGTTCTTTGTGCTCATCTCCTTTATCTTTGAAGTCCTGGATTGATGGGGGGGAGAACCCTAAAAGTCCCTTCCTGCTTGTTATAGAATTCTGCACAGATGCAACTATACTTAGCTGGGCTGCTTCCACACGAGGGGAGGGCTGTGGGGGTCATGTTGCTGATGCAGTTATGGAACAATGCAGATTTGAGATGGTTCTGGGCAATCCATTTTTCCCCCTTTCACACCTGATGTCCTTGAAACCCCAAACCTCACTGCTTTATTGTCATGCAATCGTTATTCTCTATCCATCCTTTTAAAAAAGGGGGTGTATTTCCAGCACTGTGTAGGATTAGTATTATCCCACTATCTTTGCATTTGCCTGCCAGAATAGCCACACATCCCAATCCTTTTTCCTGTTTGGCTGCTGGGCCTCTGTCCCCACTCTCCCCTTCCCTGAACTGTTGCATGGGAGAAGAAAGGATTCCAACACCCAACTACTACTTCTGGAAGCCAGGCTTCTGGCAAGAAACAAATCTTGCAATTGCACTGTTATAGAATGGTATTTCTTTTTAAAAGACATGGAGTTAATTGGCGGTAAACAAAGGCATCCGTCCATTTCCATGGCATTTCTGGGTGGACTGATGTCTCCGGTCAGTGACGAAAGACATTGATAATGTGAAGTGATGCACAGCAGCATGTGGGGAAGCTGTTGCATGCTGGGATACAGGCCAAAATTAGGAAGAAATTGATAAGCCAGGCACCAGAATGGGGGAATCTTGCCACAGCAGAAACAGAACCACCAAATGTGGAAATTTCTCATTCCCCCCCTCCCCACAAACAGGTTGTACTTACACACACACACACTGCCCATTTTTCATCTATAGAGCCTTTTGGAACATGAGAAACACAACCCAAGTTGATTATGATGATGGCCAAACTTTCTGGCAAATATGCCACAACCCAAGTTTAAAGTATGATTGTGTCTCTATAAAGGGTTTTGCAGAATGACACAATTTGTCATAACTTGAGGGTGATTTTTGTCTTGAGTGTACTGAAACATGGCTTAGGACAAAACTATTTTTTTTTGAATGAGTTGGGTCTGGGTTCCTCGGACCCAACCTACTTTCACCTCGATCACACAGCAGCTACAGAAAACATTGTTTTTTTAAAGCCTTCAAGAGCTGATTTGGCTCAGGACAGCCACATTGGGGAAGGAGGGGGCTCTGCCTTGCCCGTACACTATTTCCCTTTCTTGCAACAGCCCCCATGCAGAGTTATTTCCATAACTTTTGAGCAGCATGTCCTTGGCATCATCCAGGTGCACCTCTCAAGTTATACAAATAACTCCCCGTTGAGGCGCCGTCAACTCAGGGAAAAGCTGGAGTGAGGGATCCCCCTCTTCCCCCATCCTGCTGTCCTGAGTCAAATCTGAAAGCAGGGCTGGTCCTATCATTAGGCCTGCTAGTATCTCACCTAGGGTGGAGATACTAGCAGGGCGCCAATTCCCCTGCCACCCCCCCG